ATGGGTGTTGGTCATTACAAGCTTACTTATTAGGTTGCTGGTTGAAATGGCCCCATCACTATTGAATAACATCAATGTTCATATTCCATCAAAACAGAAAGCATAATTACTCTGCAATTCCCTCATTGTAAAGGCCTGTACAATGAAGTCCAACCATAAATTTGGCATGTAAAAAATAATTTTTTTTTTTTAAATGATGCAATCTGGTTTCCATCACTCTCACATGTCCACAGGGCCTGAGGCTCTCTGCCCCCAGACCCTGTCCTGTCTCTCTCCCCAAACCTGCCATCCTCGTAACATCCACTGGATGCCCTCAGACTTTCTTGCCAGTCCTGGTCACCTGACACCCCCGCCTATCTACACACCTGTTCCCACTTTCCTCATCAGCCTGCCTTGTGACCATTAAATCACTGAACTAATCTTGTCCATCTGCGTTTGGGTTCTTTTCTTGCATGCCTGAATTCAACCTCATGCTAAATGTTGTGGGTACAGTCAGTGCATTCATTTTCTGAAGCTTGTACCAGCAATCATGACAGCGGGTCTGTAATAATTAGTAGCGTGAGTCTGATCTGACCAGCATCCCTTTTTATTAAAAAGCTTTACAGCACACTAAAGTGTGTTACAGGTCAATCTGCGTTTTTTTGTTAACATTTCAATTCAAGATTTTATGTTAAAATTTTCAATTCAAGAAAGGAGTCTTAAATTGTTTGTGTGTTGTTTTTAGATTTAGTTTGATTTAGACATCCATATCAGTGCTGTCGGTCACCTTCCTGTGTCTGGTGAACGCAATTAATTACAAGGGATTATGTGTAGTTGTGTCATATTTATCTAAATTATAATGTCCCACGTGTAAAAACTGCTAGGAGGTGATATAAGGGTTAAACAGAATAAAATGAATATAAATGATTCTGGCATTCTCCAGTTTGACAGATTTCTGCGCCAGAGGGAGGTGGGGAATTATGACAAACTGATCATGTGCTCGTCTCACTTTGTTTACCTAAATGTCGGCAGCTGGGTTCATTTACCCTCGGCTCACTGGGGTTGAACTATTCCAAAACACGCGAACATGACTAGGTGAGTGTCAGTTAGCATTTTATTTGTGCAAAAATAATCCTTGAAACTACTGCCATCACACCTAATTTTGCCCAGTGGGTGCCGTGTACTTGCCCTATTTTCCCTCCTCCGTGTCTCACTGAGTGTGGAAATGACAGGGTTATATGGCAGCTTCACCTCCCCCAACTTCCCCCAGCCATACCCTGACAACCAGCTCGAAGTGTGGAACATCACTGTCCCAGATGGCCACAGGGTCAAACTCTACTTCAGCCACTTCAGCATGGAACCCTCAGCCCAGTGTGAATATGACTACATCCAGGTAACATGCTGGAGAAACTCCAACTCCCATTCTCTGCACTGGAGTCTGTGGCTTACTGACTAAAATGCCTCTGACCTTGTCAAACTAGGTTTTGGCAGAGGGGAATGAAACCTTGCGGTTCTGTGGTGAGGAAGAGAAGAACTATGAAAGGACCCCGAGGAACACCATCATCCTATCAGCCGGGAATCTCATGTCAGTGGTCTTTAGGAGTGACTACTCTAACGAGGGACGATTCACGGGCTTCCAAGCATTTTACACCGCAGAAGGTGAAGCACAATAGTGACACGAGTTGCCCGAAGGCAGACACAGTTGTTGGTGGCTGTAATTGCACGAAGCAGTGTGTAAGGGAGTTTATAGCAAAATAGGAGCAGGATTATATCATCACAGGTAAATACAGTAATGTTTTAAAATTCATATTTAGAAAGAAATCGGTTTGTCCAAAAAACATAATTAATTTAAACATAGATTGACAATTTATTTTTCATTTCCATGTCATTTTCATCACCCAGTTACTTTTTGGATTGAAGATTTAATGCCTGTTTTCATGCAATTAATACTTCAAACTTTTCTTTCAACATCTAGCTGTTGTTTACATAGATTGCCAATCAACATTTTTGTGTGTTAAGACAAACCAGACTCATTCGGTGCTTGATTCTGCGAATAAAGTCTGCGATTTAAAGTATGTTGGAAAATACATATCTACTGTATAGTGTTTCATTCTCTAACCTCTCTGTCTCTAACAGACATCAACGAGTGTCTGTCCAAGATAGATGGGGAAAGAGTGTGTGATCATTTTTGCCACAATTACATCGGCAAATATTACTGCACGTGCAAACAAGGATACCTTCTCCATGACAACAAAAGATCCTGCACAGGTAAGAGCCACGCAGACTAAAGCTCAAGAGGCATGTCCATCTGAGCTCAATCAAAGTCAATCAAAAGTTGTATAGTGAGGTTCAGAGTTAAGAGCCTGCTACAAAGCCTTTAACTATATATTGATACGGTTTATGGTGTTTATGGTGAGCTTCAACATACTTTAATTCCACAGCTTTTGTTGACTATAATCAAAAATAGCCATTTGGCATTGGGGTGTTGAAAATACAAAATGCTGCTAATTTCAGAAATTTTTATGAAAAGTCTGGATGAAAATACGGTCAAATGGTAGTGTTGTAAACATACACACTTATTGGAAAGCCAGGCCATTTGCTTTTGTACTGCAGAACAAATCTTCAAATAACAATTCTAATATTTCCCAGAGGGCACACAGTTGATATTGTATTAGATTGGACTTCCTTCTATCATAGCCGGCCTCTGCTAAATAATTTCAGACTGAAAAGGCGCACTGATGCATCAAGTAGTTGATCTTTTCCAGCTGGTGTGTGGCAAGGTTAATTACTGTCGATTCCTGAGGGAAAATCAACTTCAAAGTGGCATTAAAAATTGATACCTGTGAAGCATAAATAGTGTACTGACACCAGGTAATTAATCACAATTACCAGTTGATGTGCCTTAAATTATTATTCTTTGCTAGAGGAAAAGGGGGTGGCAAAACAAATCATGCAATGAATAGGCAAAAAATGATGACCTGCCTAGAGATTGTACTAATTATATGAATTACAGGAACTCGGCCTCTTTGCGATACTCATTTGTTTTTGTCCGTAACAACATCTGCACACTTGCCGGGGAAATAATGCAAACCCAAATGAATCCCATCATTTACGATGCCAGTAAATGTCTTAATTGACAGGAAAAAATGTTTTCTTCTAAACCAAAAACTTTTTCATAGCCAGTAGCTTATTGTTGCACGTAGATCATTAAACGTAATCATTTAAATTAACATGCAAACCCTGAGGACTGGACAAGATATCTAAAACATGCCTCAACATGTTGATGTGGGATTCTAATGAGTGTGTGAGTCTTCCCCACAGTGCCATGCCACAGCCAGGTGTTGACCTTGCCATCGGGGGTCCTGACCAGTCCGGGCTACCCGAGCCCCTACCCGCCCATGAGTCAGTGTGACCACACCATCCGTCTGCAGGAGGGCTACAGAATAATTCTGCACTTCCTGGACCCCTTTGACATAGAGAGACACTCAGATGTCCCTTGTCCATATGATATGTTGAAGGTTAGTCATGTGACAAGCAATGTATTCCTCCTCATGCCCGTAGAGGCAGTTTGTTACAGACCTGTCCTCCTCGGGTGATATACTATACGGCCATGCCGTTTCCTGCATAATGTTTGGCAGACATAAATCAGTCAGGCCTTTAATGAATCGTCTCATTTGGTCTTCCCCTTTTGCAAGATTTCAACAACTGGACAAGAGTATGGACCTTTCTGTGGATCCGTGCCACCAGGTCGCATTGACACTGGAAGTTACCAAGTGCATGTTGCGTTTAGATCCGACTCCAGTGGGAAAAACAAGGGATGGAAGATCAAGTACACCAGTATCAAGGCGGAATCCTGATGGCTTGTTGACATGAGCAATGTTTGTGTACTTATACGCCATCTGTCAATTTTACACAGTGACTTTTACAACCTGGGACTTTAACACAACCGCGATGAAGCTTGGATATTGTGTTTGAGCATGAGGCTTGCGGAATCAATATTGTAATGATACTTTGGTATGACATTATGAAACTGGTGCTACAAAAATACTCTCCAAATTTCAAGGAATTTCATTGATTGCATCTAATTTCTAATCTAGTTTAATCCTCTTTTAACTACTTTTGTATTAGGTGTTTCACTGTTGCATAACTCAAAAGACACTTTGACTTAATAATGTACACATAAAAATAAAAAGTCCATTAAAATACTGTAAATGTTATGTGACCACAACATAGAACCTGAAGTCGCATATGATCAGACAAGCATTTTAATTAAACAAAGAGCGGGTCTTCCTCAAAGCAGTGTAGCTCGATGCAAACCGTTCTGCTCTTTAATGCTCTGGCAGAAATAAGAAATGAATTCTCTGCAGTATTCTGGAAGTCAGTCAGTCTGGTCTGAGAAGTGGTGAATGTTAGTCGTTTAACCTTCATATATTATGCAGCTTGTTCTCAGCTCTGCTCCTTTTATCAAAACAGTCATTATAGGGTTCTTCGGCATGAAATTGCCTCTCATTTCACACCTTTGCATTCACTCGCTAACATTTCCGCCTGTGCCCCACAAGTAGGGCAAAAGAGCACGCCTGAATGAGTGGATGCGAGAAAGAAACACACTTGTGTTGATTTCTATCCAGTGTTATATCCAGGGATCCTTTTTTTTTCTTTTTTCTTGGAATTAGTCCAACACAAATTTTCTGTGAACTTTCTTTTAACCCTCATTATGTCGACTGAACTGTTATGCTGCTACATGCGTTGCACTGTGAAGGCCAACACAACTTAGCAAGGCAAGGTGTGTACTGACCCATACGTCACCTTGGCATTTGCAACCCCACAAAACCACAAGGCCTTAGGTGGAAATGTGTTCTCTGAAAGTCATCTGACCGCATGGAATAAGGTTTGTTTCCAGCATGAAATTCCCAGACAGTCCTCGGGGGCAACTGGGTGCTTACAGAGCAAACCGGCAGTTGTTGCCCGAGCACTGTTAACGCATAATCGTATCCACCAAAACAGTGTGACAAATGCTCAATACCCCACTCACTTCTAACTGTTCAGCTAGTTGGAGCCAATTCCACAGCAATTACCCACAGCATGAAAGCCATTAACCAACTGTTGGAAAATATGTAGCAGCAGCAGCATGCAGCCAGTAGGCTTATAGCTAAAAACCTTCATCTTGAGCATGAATGTGTTGTACTGTATGTGAGGAGAGAGCTATAAATGGAGGCTTACTTATTTCTGACCATGGGAAGAATTCATTAATCAGTATTTTAGTGACTCTAAATTTTATTCTCACAAAGAACAGCTCCTATAGCTTTGAGCCCAACACTGTATTTGGCATTAGATTTAGCTCTTCAGAGAAAGTAGTCTCAAGAATGGCGTCAAGAATGAAATCCGCCATAATAATAATAAAGGTCAAGAGAACTGTCGAAAGCTTGAGGGCTGGTTGAATTTAGAAAACCCTTCTTACCACCATTCAACATGTTTATAAAAGGCACCTTCAATCTAAGAATGTACGCTCATATACAAATTCCCATGTAACATTTGTCGCGCATGTTCAAATCAAATAGAGTGTGAACGCACCGGAGAGCTGACACGTGACAGAGGGTTATACAACGGCAGAGAGAGAGAATGCTCACCTTTGGGGAAGCCGCGTGTCGTAGACTGAGTAACTAGGAGATCTTGATGAATAACAAATACTAAAGTACAAGACAGTGGTGTCATCTCAATCTCACGGCGACACAAACGGATGATCCCTCCGCAAATTCACCCGTCATTCATGATCACTGTTCAAGAGAGCAGTGATGAGACGACAGGCATGACAAAGGCTATCTTCTACATGACCTATGAGTCACACGGACCTGCACACATTGCACACACACCATCTTACATCACACAGCCCCGACACTGATACATAACGTCTATAATAGATGGTCTTAAGCGAGCTTTCATCCAGAAATATTGGTTCTGTGCAACTCAAAGATGAAGCTGTCATTCTCACCCATAATGTGTTCAGTGAAGCTTCCCCGTATGACCTGAAATACTTCTTATCCTGTCATACCCTTTATTGTTAGTGATGAATTAGTCGGCGTACCCTTTTCAAATGAAGCTTTTATACAAATACATTTGGTTGACGTCCACATTTGCATACATCTCTCAGTAATACATTTCTCTCAGTATGATCCTGTCTGCACTCCACGTCAGTCTATCGCAGTGCTGTAGACGTTCCTTTAGCATTGTGCCTTATGTAGAGAGTTCCTGTGCTCATCATATTTGGTATTTCTACCATTCTTTGTATTCCACGTAGAGATTCTCGAAATGGTCACACATCAGGTGATGACATTTCACACCACATGCATGAAGACTGGTGGTACAACATGGAAAGGATAATGCCACATTCAGGTAGTTTATTTACAAAAATAAAATGTTCATGTTCCCTGTAGGGGGGCCTGTTTATTTTCATCACAAGTTAGAAATTATTTGGGTCCAATAGTGGCCCTCAAAACTGACAAAAAGGTCAAATCAAAGGAACCAGCGGACTGAAATAACAAAACCCATCCCAAAAGATCCCATATACTCAAGATGTAAATGTAATTTCAGTGAAAGCACCTACATTCTTTCAAAGAGATACAAAACAATAGATGTTGTTACTCACCAAATGCTGGAGATTCACAGGGTTGGTCTAGCTAGTTCAAAGCATATTTCTTACCTATAGTGCACCGGGGGGTAAGAAATATTGGGAAGAACGCTTTGATACCACTCTCATTCCTATCAACTAAATACCAAGCTGCCATAAGCATAGCTTAGCATACAGACTGGGAACAAGGGGAAACAGCTAGCCTGGCTCTGAAGGTAACAAAAGCTAGCGCCCCTTAATCTCATCGTTTAAATCACACCAATGAAGTACAAAACCCACAAGTTGGGGTTTTACAGGGCTAATGTGTGGGACTACTTCTTAGGCGTTAATTGCTGAGCTTACCAGGGGCTGGTGCGAGCTGGCTGTTTCCCAGTTTCCAGTCGTTATGCTAAGCTAACCTAAGCTATCGGGCTGCTGGCTGCAGCTTCATACGGAACGAGTGTTCAGAGAGCGATGGTATCGATCTTCCCAGTGAACAAGAAAAGCGAATTGGCATATTTCCCAAAATGTTTTGCTTTTCACATGGATATGTTTATCTGTGATTATTTGCACAGCATGGCACTCACCAAAATAAGGAGCCAATAGAAAAGTGGATGCCAGTGGTTAACGCCAGCATGTCTTTGATAAACATGACTTGTGCAAATGACTCTGCTTCCTCTTGAGGCAAAAAGCATTCAAGTGGTTTGCAAGTTCAACAGAATTATGCAAACGTCAACATCATTAACATTCATGGATTCCAGCGTTATGGATCCTATTATTAACCCAAGGTAAATCCCATTCTTCTGACCCTGAGGCAGGTTGTGTGAGTTCTTATCAGTCTCTTCTCCGGTGAAGCCTCGGCCCAGGCGTATCTAGACCCTCCTCCGTGCTCTGCTAACTGGACTCCAGCTGTGTGTTGCTCCTGATGGACTGCACGGCCTGAACCTGCTGGAGACGTCCGGTCAGCTCGGCTTCGCAGGCCTGCAGCAGCGCAGAAGTCCTCAGTCGGTCCCAGCCCAGCACCTGCTCCATAGCTTGCACCCCTCTGCTCACAACCATCTGAAGAGACATGGAAGAGGCTTCATTTCAAACAGTGCAAACCTGAACATGTGAGACTGTATATTACTGACTCATAAGTAAGTAAATGGCCTTTGGATTACACAACAGAGTCACTAATAAACTATGCATGTGCTGCGTTAGGACTTGCAGTTTTCCATAATTGCTTCATCATTTTCTCAGCTGCTTATTAGACTCGATGGGTTTTTGTTACAGCACAAGCTGCAGAAGTTCTGAGGCATACTGGATCAGCGGTGTGGGGGGATTACCTGCAGATCCTCAGTGGACAGTCTGGTCTCTGGGCTTGTTTTGCCTTTCAGGACCATCAGTGTCCTGGACATGAATCCGGATGCAGAGTCCACCTCCATTGCATCCACCTCCACGTCTCCGGCCCCTGACACATTAAAATGGATTCTCTTTCAGGATCATTTGTTGTACACGGGTATAGTTACAATGAAACGCACCAAGAGGGGGGATTATTCAGCAGCAACAATGTTTCCACCTAGTGGCCAAAAGGCACAATCACCGCTCCTCTCTCATGAGCCATAAGTGTTAGCACTGAGAAAAATAACATGTAAAGAAAAATACAGTTGTTTTTAATTTATAATTGATTAATTATCTTGTCATGTCTACATGCTTTGCTACAATGCAAATACAAAAAGTGAAGGATGTGAACATGGGTGTATAAAGATATTGCTGTTGAATAATAATAGTGTGCTTAGCTCTTAAAAATAATACATGTATCAAGAATTATTGCGATTGTTTTAGCCTTTCATGTTGATTACGGGTTTGGTCAGCTTTGTCCCTTTGACTCTTGTCCACAGAACAAGCAGAGGAGCCATTACCTTCCTGCAGGCCTACACAATCAAAGGTTAATATTGATTATTTTTGCTGGACGTTGAACTCATGATTATTGATCAGAGCTATTCATTCCAATTTTCATAGGATAGACTCAGTGGCTTTTTATGGCAAACATCCATCCATATATATATATGTATATATGTATGTATACCCTGAACAGGCCATCACAGGGCTGGCACATAGAGACAGACAACCATCCGCCGCACTACACCAACGTGCCACCCTCCAAGACAGACAACCATCCGCCGCACTACACCAACGTGCCACCCTCCAAGACAGACAACCATCCGCCGCACTACACCAACGTGCCACCCTCCAAACGATACAATAGAAATTAAAAACAATTGAAAAAAAGAGGGTACACCAAGAAAAAAGTGTCCAATATTATTTATAAGCATTTCCAAATTGTAAAAATGAAAAACCACCACACTATGACACAGCCATACCTTGGCTTTGGTCTTCCTGCTGTCCGTCCTCTTTCTCCGCAGCTTTGAGGTAGAGCTGGAGCAGCTCCTTGGACTGCCTCTCCTCCTCTCGTCTGTCCAGAACCCTTTGCACTGTCTCCTGCAGGTCCTCGGCCTTCTTCTCTTGGAAGCCCAGAGCAGAGGCGAGCTCGAGGCACGGGGCATCCACTAATGTCTGGAACAGCAGGTGGCACAAAAATATCCTTTCTTTGAGAACACTACAGTATGTCTATTAGGTGCTTCGACAGCAACAACAAATACAAGGAGGGAATGAACATCAAAGCTAAAGGTATAGCAGATTACACTGTGAACCTGCCTCCTGCCAAAAGGTAAATATTGCCTATTTCAGCTTTAAAGGACAAAACCAGAATAGTGAGTATATACGGGCAGTGTATGCAAAATCAACTAAAAATACACAATAGTGTCTATTTTACTGATGGAACATGTCACCAAGTGCCACACTGTGGCCGATGCATTTGTAACAATTCCTGAATAACAATGGAGGTCTACTGTGTGACGCCTCTCCCACTGTCTTGGAGGCTGTCCTAGACTACCTGGGCAGTCGATTGGCCGACATGGGAGGCTTGTCAGCTGATTAGGCTCACCTGGGCCACTGCGCTATGAATGCTGGCCTCCGTGCTCACTGTCTCGCCCTTTCTACAGGAGTTTGTTTTTGGTTGATTTTGTAAGGGAGCAGCATTTGTCCCCAGTTTGTTTGGTTTGCAAACCCATAGAGGGGATGCCAGTTTTTTGCCTTTTTGTTCTGGTGGAATCATTGCATAAGCACCCACCACCAGTAGAGACTACGAGAGACCACTGCCCGAAGACTACGGCTAGTAAGTGGTATTAGTTAGACAGGGCTCTGTGGTGGCTCTTTGACTTCACCATTACACGTGTTTCAGTCCATGTATTTGTGTCTTGGGGCTTGTGACCTTAAATACACTGTAACATGGCTAGGAGAGTAAAATACATCTGTGCTTTGTCTGGTCTTTAACTTGCTTTGAGCCCTGCATATCTGAAGATGCTTTGGTTCATGGTATAATTTGGGTCTGTACGGGAGGAACTAGAATATGAGCTGTGGGGAGGTTGTTGCCTTAAATGCCGGCAACTTGGCAGCTTTGGTAAGGGCTGTAGCCCACGCTGTGTTTTGGTTTTCATTTGAACTTTGTTGATTCTATATGCGTCTTGGGAGGACTTGGTTGGCTTGTTAGCCTTTGTTTTATAGGGACCTTTGGGTATGCTACTTTGGTTAGCCCTTGGTAATTCCAGGTTGCTAACCAAAGCACTATTGTTATTGCTGGCCTCTGTGCTCACACTGTCTTCACACAGCTGGCATTCATCCAGCATAAATGTCTTTGAGGTTTTGCACCTTCAACACCTCCACAGCGCACATGACAACACATCCATGCACAGCTTTCATTGCTGATCTAAACACACTTATTTTGTGTGTTGACCTTTTAGTTTAATACATTTTATTAGAAATAAATCTATTGCATGGACTCCCTCCTTTTCACAGACCCTGGGTTTGTTTGATGATGGCAAACATGACTTTGCTATATTAGCCTTTAGTCACACAGATAGAGTCTGTCCATGACGTTTGTTAACGATAAGGATACAGAATATTGCCAGCCTTATCCTTTAACAGGACAAAGCTGATGGTGACTACTGAGGAAAGTGGTTTTCAAGTACTATTACCTTGTTTTCTTCCCAGTGCATGCTGGGATAAACATGACTGCAAACACAGTCGGTGAAATGAAGGAAAGGTACCTGTAAGTCTGCCTCCGACATGAGGATGATGCTGGCAAGGTCCTGCTTCAGCTGCTGAGCCAGGTCCAGCCAGGGTGCTGCAGCACTGGAGGCGTCCACACTATCAGCCTCCACAGTATCGGCCTCCACAATATCAGCCTCCAGCAACAAAGAATCTCTGGCCATCCAGGCCGTGCCACCATCCACTACGACGAAAAGCAAATTTCTACCTGAACATGCACTTCATTATAAAATAAGAAACGGAAATGTAGACAAATCACAGAACACCGTCTTACCCCTGCGAACTGGTGACCATGTCTCTTTTTCGTGCAACAACATGAACTTTGTGTTTAAAGGTAGACACAGAAAGTAGGCTTGATCCTCTACTATCGTCCCATCATTCTCCAGGACCACTGTGACAGGCTCACCAGGACTGAACCCAAGAAACTCACTTCCTGTGGGAACAACGGAGAAATGACAGATTTTACAGATCTTTGGTGGATATCCTTTATCATGAGTGGCACACAGGACTTTGATACGCTTTAGCCATTTGTGTAAAGGCAGTAACAACCATATTGTCTCTGGTGGATTTGCCCCTGGTAGTTTCAGTGGCGGTCCCCACTGAACCTTTACTGTGACATTTGAATTCACATGTGAAGCATCTTGGTGATACAAATGTTATGGTTTCAACTTGGTGGTTTTGATAACCACCAAGTTTAAATGAACAGTGTATGATTTAGGGGATTTCATTACTATGTTTTATTTCATTTCTATGTTTTCACTTGCGTATAATCACCAAAAACTAAGAACTGTTGTATTTTCTTTAGCTTGCAATGCGCCTTATATCTACATAGGGAGCGGGTCCTCTTCAGGGAGTCTACAGTAGCCCAGAGAGGACAAACCGAACACTGGCTCTAGAGAGAGCATTTCATATTTCTACGCTACCTGAAGACCACCGAAGTGTTCCAACACCCTTGGAAAGGGAGGGGTCTTCAGTTTGATGCAACTTTAGGACTAGATGCCACTAATCCTACACACTGCTCCTTTAATAGAGTAATACTGAGCTGCGTATTAGCTTTTTGTTTGTTTGTTGTATTCATGTACTGGTCTGAGACGGTTTAAAAGGAAGGTACATAACTCAGTAACTGCCTGTAACAACACATGTGGTTTTAATGTAAAGTTTTATATAAAAACATTTTGAATTTGAAAATGGAAGTTTTCCAAATAACACTAGAGGTTTTGTGTCATCTGCAGTTACAGGACTTTATCCAGATCACAATTAGATCTATACATCCGAGATGTAGACGGTTTCAACAAACTTGATCAGAAACGTGTCCCTGTCCAGTGGAGCTTGTATGTAAATAGTGTGCATTGATGTGTGCATTGATAGGGGCAACGCCTGCTGACTAGCATTCCTGGTATGAGCAGGACAGGCGGGAGATCTGTCCTGACAATTCCTGTTGGGCTCCTGCGAGTTTGAACACGAAGTGTTTCATTACTCGAGCTCGTTCATGACAGATAAGCAAGTTTAAACTGTGCGGTAAAAAAACACCATCAATGGCGGCAATGATGGTAGCTGACATAGATCATGTAGATCATTGCTCATCATGACATTTGTGTTTCACTTTAGACAATACCCTTAATGCCTTATTAATAACACACAGACCAAAGCAGACTGGCCAAGATCACCGCTAAATGCACGAACACAGAGTCAGATTTATCTTACATTTTACATCTCGTGTAATACAGGTTTTATTCAAATGGAGGCAATACAATGAGACTCACTCTTCAGACACGTTTACGAGTTAAAGTCGTTATAACACAACTTACCTTTCATCTTCAGGTCATCTAAGGAGGGAACTGCCACCCCGTAGGACTTCTGTCGGGTGAAGTCGCACACCTTACACGGTTTCCTGTCTGTCATTCTTGGCTTGTTGTGGAGAAACGTATTTCTTCTTCTTTGTCTTAACTTTACACTGTCAAACACCGAAACTGTAGTTCTTGTCGATGAGCTGACTGGAACACGGAACCGCGGCGGTCTTCTTCTCCTTCTTCTTCTTTGAGTTGTTTACTGTGGCATTACTGCCATCTCCTGGAGTTACTTGACTCATACAGTCTCCAGCTTGTCAGCTTTTTTTTTTTTTTACTCCAGTCTACTCTTTCCATTTCTTTCATCATGCCCATCCTCTCTGAATATTTCCCGCAACTAACAAACAGCATCTACTTGTGTTCACAGAGACTGGGAAGTATACTGTTCACACTAGGCCACAATGTCCTACCTTACCTCCTCTTTTCTATTTCCTTCTCCATTTCTCACAATACACACCTTAGTTTGTATTGAATGTAAATGTCCCTAGATGTATGTAAATGTCCAGGAACCCAAAATGAATGTGACGTCACTGCCTTGTTTTATTACTTGGATGTATTGCTATTATTTCAAATAGTAGGCCCAGATCCTGACAATTACTGGACGCACCTGATTGAACACTGAAGAGACTGAGTCACTACAGACTAGCATTTAGTTTGGTTAGATTTGTTCAACCCATATCACAGCCATCAAAACAACTCAACAGTGTACACACTTAAAATGTTCAAGTTTGTTTGTATATCTCAGCTGCAGAACCTGTATTATCTGTTATTGGATCTTTTGATCAAAGCTGCACATAGTCTGTGTATTTACAATCCTGATCACTAAAACGAACTCGCTAAATATTAACTTTTATTTCTTGACTTCATTTGAGGTAATTCCAAAGAGTTTCTTTACCACACAGGGATTATAGGCATTATCAAAAACTCAAACAGTGAATGTAGTGCACTATTTAATGAATAGGGAGTCATTTTTGACACAGCCTCTCTCTTCAATGGAGTCTTGAAATGTGTCTGTCAACTTCTCTCGGGAAATATAAAGACAGCATTGTCTTTCCACAAGACATAGTGGTCACAGTAGCTAAATTAATTTCTTTTAATGTGTCACTTGGTGGAGATTATGAAGATTAATGTTCCAGTATTATTACAGCTTTTATAATGATATATCAGTCATACTGGCCTTGATTGACAGGATTGTCTCGGAGCAGCCAGACTCCAAGGCTAGACCAGATTAGGAAACGGACATTGGGGACAACTGCTTCAAGACCTCAGAATCTCAGGGCCCCCAGACTTCCAGGAGCATAAATGGCCCTATTTTCAGTTTTTTTTTCTTCTGTCTTTTAGATTAATTTAAGTAACAAAATGCACCACATCTTCTCAAACAATAAGTATTTTAGGGCTGTTCCTGCATTATTAATCTGGAGACCATCTTGTAAAGGGGCCCTGTGTCACAATGTTTGACTAATTATGTCTTTAATTTGTGCATTATTATGGTATTGCATATACTTGGCCAATAAAGCTGAGTTTGGTTCTGATTACGTTATTATAATAAATAATTATTAATAAAAATGATATCAATTCATGTGATACTGTACTTGCTTGTAAACACAAGGGGCTCCTGACAAATTCTAACTAAGCTTTAAAGTGAATTCTGCTGTGTTTACTAAATGTAATCATTAACATTGTGTTGTGGGGAATATGGACCGTTGAGATCTTTAAGGAAAAGCAGTCGAACGTGGCTCACTCGAGCAGCCTGTGCTGAAAGCGAACCAGGGATCGGAAGATGGCATCCACCGACCGACCTGATCCTCCAACACAGGTCTACATTTATGCAACTAGAACATTTACCTCTTGATGTCCAGACCCGACAGTGGACTCGTATAATGTGTTTAGATGTCGTGCACCTTGAATGCCTTGCTGTTTTTGTTGTTGCGTTTATAACCGCTCTGTTAGCTAAAGTTAGCATGCTTGCTAGTTAGCACGCTCGCTAGCTCCTTCAACGCTGTAAAAGTTGCCTCTCAGACATGCTTGCGTTGACAAGTTGTCCGAAAGGCCGAGCTGTCGTTCTCGTGCTGCAACCACATGTTGCCAAAACTTGTGTGGCTCGCTAACCTAGTCGGTTAGCTAGTTACCGTGACCAAATGCACGTCCTTCCACCTAACCATGAAGTCTCCCCTCAGTCTCACGATCTGCAGTTAGTGACATGATGTGGAAAGGTCACTGTAAGTCAAACACGTCTGGTGGATTGTACTCGGCTCTCTGCTTCCACTGTTTTGGGTTTAAATTGACAAGAATTGAACATCACGACAAACGCATGTTTTAGTAAGTTGTGTCTCATACATGTGGCCAGGGACAGCTTCTTCTACACTTTGCTTCTACATTTATAACCTCTTTAATTTCAGCAAGAAAATCTGGATGTACAATACGTCAACCACAATAAAATGTGTTCAAAACCACCATTCAAAGGTAGATTTTATGTTGACTTAACCCAGAGACTGATGAAGCAGGAACGAAAATTAAGTAAGGAACTGAATTCATGATTGTCATGCATGCAACATTTACAAAACAATGACTCAATTACTGAATAATTAATTAACTGGTGCATGAGCACAGATATTCATCCACAATGATCTAGACCCAATTATGCAGCATTAATGTGATGGATTGATCAACTGATTTTGCTCACTGCAAATGTCACTATCCAGTGGTGGAGGAAGTACGTAGATCTTTTACTTAAGTAAAAGTGTCAATACCGTGGTGATGAAATATTCTGTACCCAAGCTTTCACAATTTTAATAGTACAAAAGTAGTAGCATCAAAATATACTTAAAGTACTGAAAGTAAAAGTACTATCATTATTCAGAATGGCCCATTTTAGAATTGTATATATTGTTGTTATAATTATTAACACAGTAATGTGTAAATTACTTTACTGTTGCAGTTGGTAAAGTTTGGGACTCATTTGAAGTACTCTATATACTGTTTGGTAGCTTATGACTTCCCCACCAGGATAAATAAGACCGTATCTTAACCGATGATAGTGCATCATCATTTATTTGTTTATTATGTTTTGTGTTATTAGTCTGAATTTACTAAGTAACTGTAACTGAATATATTAAATGAATGTACTGGAGTAAAAAGTACAATGTTTATTTCAGTATTCAAGCAGCAGGAAATGAATATACTCAAAGTACTTGAGTAAATGTCCATAGTTACTTAACACCACTGCTGCTTACTAAACATTGCTGCATTCAACCAACACAGCCCGTGTCCTCCAATAGATGGCAGTCTTATACAAGTGTTTGTTTATCTCCTCAGCCGTGCCTTCCACCTGGAGATGATGCGGCCGCTCCCCCCAGAGAAGCCCTGGTAAGGACTCAGTATTTATACATTACTTGACTGAAAAAGCATTTTGGACTAATTTAACAAACTGGTTTAAATATGCATATTTGATGTAAGTGCTTATTAGATAGATAAAGCAGGTTAGTTAATTTCATTTAATCATGAATCTTGTTTTTAATCAACAGATTTCACTGGTCGGTCCCTTTGCACTGATTAACCAGTGAAATCCGCTGCTGTAGTGTTTAGTGAGAATGAAACTCGCATCATATTTGAGAAATGGAGAGTTGTTGTTTTTGATCTAGTGACTTAAAGAAGTTGGGTTTTCATCTTTTCATCGACAAACTACTTTTCCTTAGCTAATCAGGTGATGTCACACATTCCCCAGTGAGATGAAGGGTTTAAGGCTTCCAATTAGCAGCCAGTCACTTTAGCACCACACTGATGTCCCCAAGCCCATAATGAGAGGGTGCTTTATGTTGCTTGACTTTAGAAAGTTAAAACGCATGTGAAAAGCTCTGTTTTAGCAGCGGGTTCACAGTTGCTTTTTTGCCACATACCTTTGTGGTTTTTAGTTCATCCCATTGTTTTTGAGTTTGGGTCATGTCCCACAAATGGGTCTTTTTGAATTAGTTCGCCAATAGTCATAGTCACCAATAAAGAAAATACATTTATAAAAAGTAGACTGTGTCTACGTCACACAGCCTGTGTTTAGTCCTCCCCTGCACCTGCAAAAAACAGAAGACTTGAAGATGTAGGAGAAAAGTAAAATATAAATAAAAATGTAATGGCACTGCACCTTGAGTATTTTTGCATTACAGTAACATAGTCAGAAATATTCCTCAAAAAGCTATAGAAACAATACGTAATATATATATATATATATAGGGTTTTTGTTCCTCCTTTAATCCTTGTCTCTAAAGTCCTCCCTCCAAGTTGTGAATACATGCAAAACTGGGAACATTTAATGACAATAAACATCAGTTGTTTTCCAATAATGTGTGAAGGAAAGTGTTCATTAGACATCGCTCGGCTCAAGCGATGACAACGGTTATAGCCACAAGTCCTTGCCAAGTGGGACGGAATACATCACAGGTACATTCACTGGGCTCGTATGGGCACAGCATCCCGGTTATAGGAGTGCTGTATTGTTCAGCCTACATGTCTCAATGTCATTCACCGCCATTCACTCTTCATCCTCCCCCCATCATCCCTTCATGCCAAGGCTAATTTAATCCTGGGGTTATTGATTGTGGGAGCATTCTCCCAGGCTTTCTTTCAATTTACTTCAATTTCATCATCCCAGTGCGCTTCAAGACTGCCTCCTCCAAAAAGGGAAGAAATTCTTGTTATGAGGGTCCTGATTCGAGACTGGTTGACAAGTCTCCCCGCACCGCCACCGCCCTCACTTCCAACCCCTTTTCTCCTTTCTCTTTTTGATGAGCTGCTCTTTCCCAGTTAAGTGGATTATTACAGTAGGGATAATTCTTGTCACATGGCATTATTTGGATGAGGTGAATAATTGAAATTTATGTCTGAAAGGATTTTATCTGGATGAGAGGAAAGGGAGTGCTGGCAGGGTTGGGAGGGCAGAGAGAGAGGGGGGGGGGGGCGCGGCGCACACACACGTTTGTGTAACATTTATGTGCACATGTGCATGTCAGACCAGCCAGTGTGTCAGGCTGGGGACACCAGTCATGTTAACAGGTTCTGACTCACCTCGCCCAGATCAGCAGGCCCTGGCACACGGCACGGCGTGGGCTCTCTCCTCTGTGGGCAAGAGGGCCCGGCTCAGGGGCCGGTGCCACAGCCTTTGCCACCATCCCGGCCCGAGGGAGAGGTCTGGACCTGCAGTTACAGAGAGAAAAAAGAGAAAGGGTTTGAGTGTGTGTTCCACGGTTGACTGGTATACCAGTCGCTGCCAGCCGCTGCTGTTGCCTCTGGCGCTGCTCTTTGCTCGCTCCCACCCCGGCTTGCTTGGTCTCCGTCTACAAACCCCCCCTCCCCTCCCTTCCACCTTCCACTCATCACAACCCCGGCCTGTCTCTCGCCGGTGTCTCCCTA